ACTTGTTCTTCCAGGCGGGACTGGGGTTTACATGGAAAAGACAGGTGGCCTACCTTGTAGATTTACAAATATAAGGGTTGTAATTGACCAAAAGCCCCGGGTTCTGCACACTGAGATTAATCACCCTTTTTGTGCCATGAGGTTCTGCTTCCTAGCCAGTGACTGAGCACAACAGAAACACTAAGTCAGGTCTGTTTCTGAAAGACACAGGACTGTTCTTTTTTATTATTATTATTGAAGTATTATTGCTTTACAATGTTGTATTAGTTTCTGCTGTACAATAAAATCAATCAGCTATATGTATATATATATATCCACTCCTTCTTGGACCTCCCTCCCACCTTGCCTCCATTGTACCCCTCTAGGTCATCACAGAGCACTGAGCTGAGTTCCCTATGCTATACAGCAGGTTCCCACTAGCTATCTATTTTACACACGGTAGTATATTTATGTTAAATCTAATCTCCCAATTCATCCAAAACTCCCCTTCCGCCTGTTTCCACATGTCCATTCTCTACATCTGTGTCTCTCTTCCTGCTCTGGAACTAGGTTCACCTGTACCATTTTGCTGTTCAGTCACTCAGTCGTGTCCGTGGCTTTGCAACCCCATGGACTGCAGCACACCAGGCTTCCCTGTCCTTTACCATCTCCCAGAGGTGCTCAAACTCATTCATGTCCATTGAGTGGTGCCATCCAACCATCTCGTCCTCTGTCGTCCCATTCTCTTCCTGCTTTCAATCTTTCCCAGCATCATTCTAATGACCTACGTTAACTTAAAGACTCCCCTAGAACCTCGCCAAACCTCTCTTGCAGTAGGCAGCACTCAAGCATGGTTCCATGGAACCTGCTTCCTGCTTTCACTCAGGATCACACTTACTTTGTGATCTAACAGTTCTCCCTGGTTTTTTTTTTTTTTTTCTCATAGGCATTTCCCCTAATCTAATCCTTGCATATTTCAAGAAGCCTGCTTTTTGGATCACCCAGTCTAACACATCAATTTTGCACAGTTATGACAATGTTGAATATACAACTTTTTATTTTGCCTTGTTCAATGGGTAATATTCTTCATAAGGGGAATCTATTTTGTAGAAAGTGGGAAGACATGAAAGCTAGTTAATAGAAATCACAGTATTGTTAGTCAACTTGGGAGAAATTGTGAAGACCGGCCAACAAATGGGAATAATAGTAAAAACAAAACAAAACAAAACAAAACAAAACACAGGCATATAAAGCAGGCAGAAACTTGAAAAATTCACATCCTTTTAAGTATAAAAGTGAAAGTAGCTAGGAGCACAGTGGGAATCAGACCAAATAAAGTGAAAGTCTTTTCGGAGCTGCACTGCACGTGCTTCACTTGCATTTGTTGTGGCACTAGAATCCTCTCCTTATTTACATGGCTTTATGAGAAAAAAAAACATGCAAATGAAGTAAATAGTATTTCACAGCAAAGCAAAATGGAGTTAGCTTTATTTTGCAATAACTCAAAGAAAGAAATTGGGAGAAATTTGTCTTGAAGTTACATGTTGTTCAGTTCCTAAGTTGTGTCTGAGTCTGCAACCCCATGGACTGCAGCACATCTGAAATTATATAGTTATATATCCAGCAGCTTCCTGGATGCCCAATTGTGTCAGACATTTTGTTGCTTAGTATTGAAGCGATCTCCAAATAAGAGGTCTAAAGGAAGGTTCCCAGGGGGCCAGAAAAGCAGGGAGGACTCAAAGTTAAGGCATAAACTAATTGCCATTCACCAATCAGTTCAGAAGTACAGCATTTCATTCTGCCTTTCATAGACTCATATAAATGGTATCAGTGGTAACTGACTAGATTTGGGGCTTGGTTATCCTTTTCATGCTAATTGGAGTCAGTGTTAATAAACTTAAATAATTATATATTTAAATTTTCTCCCATGATGGTTTGAAAGGAAACTTAGAAAGACCAGGTCCAGGGAAACATGTTCTCCCAACTTCTGAACTGACTTTTAGCTGCTGCTCAGTTGCCTTGTAGGACTGCTTTCCATGCCCTTACCTTAGGCATTTCTCCAAGTGACTTAGGAAAAAATACACCCCAGTAGCATACATTTAAACAGCTGAATAATATTTCATCTTATAATTATAGCAGTATTTATTTAGTCATTTTCCAGTTGCAGAATGTTTAAGTTTTCTTAATTTTTCACATAAAGATAAACATTTTTGCTCTGCTGCATTTTGGATGATTTCCCAAATGTAGTATTACTGAGTAGGACATTTTTAGCATTCTTGAAACATTGTGCTACATAAAGAAAGACCAATGTACATTGCTAGAGGCAAGATATGAAAGCACCAGATTTGGTTAACTGCATCCTTACCATTAGTAATATCTTGTTATTATCATCATAATTTTAAAAGTAAACCTTTCCATTTATTTTGGATTTTTATGCTTAATGTTTTTATCATTTGTGAATTGTTATTCTTGCACAATTAACTGTTTATCAAAATAATGGAGTCAGTAGTTTTCTTAATATTTAAAAAAATGTTATATAGTGCATATGCTGAATATATCAACTCTCATCACCTTGTCTATAATATTTTCTGCAAATTGTTTTTTCCATTAATCATTTTAATAGTACGTTTCAATTTACTGAAGGCATCTTTTTTAAGGCAACCCTATCTAACAGTAACCATATGAAATAATTTTTACTGCTTTTAAATTAGGAAAAAATCTTTCCTGGATGATTTCTAATCAAGATTTCCAGATAAATGTGGTCAGCTTCCCAAATGTGTCCACATCCTAAGCCTTTTAACCCCTGCTACCTTATATGGAAAAACTAATTCACAGATTTTATTAAATTAAGGATCTTGAGAGAAATTATCCTGGATTGTTCAGGTATGCCTGATGTGATCACAATTATCCTTAGAGAAACAGAAGGAGTCAGGGTTGGAAGAGAAGGAAATGTGACAACAGAAGCAGAGATTGAAGTGATATGGCCACAAGCCTAGGAATGCCAGTAGCATCTAGAAGCTGGAAGAGACAGGAGTGGATTCTTCTCTCTGGAGCCACCAGAAGAAACCAGCTCTGCTGACATTTTGATTTTAGTCTTGTAAGACTCACTTTGGATACCTGATTCTCTAGAACTGTAAAAGAATACATTTGTGCTGTTTTAAGCCAGTTTGTGATATTACAGTGGCAGTAGAAAAGTAAAGAATAATGTTTTGTTCTCCATCATGCAAATTCCCAGCAAAGGTCAAAATGTTAATGTTAACATTATCCTTCTATCCTAATACAAAAGGAAACTTGCTACATTCTAAAACTTTCATGGAATTTCTTTTAGAAATAGTGTGGGTAAGGCTGAACCATAGGAAACTAGAAGTTCTCAAGCCTAGCTCACCTCCTGTGAAGTTTTGTGCACCTGGTAACTATGGTGACCACTAGGCAGCACATTCCTAACCTTCCCTAGGAAAAGTGATGGCATGGGTCAAAGGGCTATTCTAGGATTACATCACTTGAGTTCCATATCAGTTTAGATAGAGTTCAGCTATGTGCTTCCCTGGTGGCTCAGCTGGTAAAGAATCCACCTGCAATCCCTGGTTTGGGAAGATCCCCTGGAGAAGGGAGAGGCTACTCACTCCAGTATTCTGGCCTGAAGAATCCCATGGACTATACAGTCCATGGTATCACAAAGAGTCAGACATGACTGAGCGACTTTCACCATGTATAGTGGAAAAGTCCAAAGTAGTAACGGTTTTAATAAAATAGAACATTGCTTCTTTTACATGCAAAATAAGTATAAAGGTAGGCGGGACAGGGCTGATATTGTGGCTCCTCATTAATCAGCACCCCTGTATCCTGGTTTTTCTTGCTTCACTATCTTAACTGTGACATCCATCTTCTGGGGCCAAGATCTAAGATGAGCGGTCTCAACTCCAGGCATCATGTCTGAGCAGACCTTGGGGGTAACTGAGATGCTTTAGGGAGATTTTCTGTAAATCCAATACCAAACTTTCACTTAACACTCTGAACATGACTTAATCATATAACCACATTTTCCTGCAAGAAAGACTTGGCAATAAAATCTTCTATTTAGGCAAGAAAAATATACACAACTAAATTTCTAGATTCCATTACTAAGAAGGCCCAAAGCTTCAAGCACTTACACATCCATGAACACACATCCCTCTCCAAAAGAGACAATATCAACATCTTACCTTGCTAGTTTGTCCAAAGTTGAGATATTTGGAAGACATGTATTCTCTGCATCAGATTTGAATGTAGCTTCTCATGGTTCTATGACTTATGAACTAAAAGTTAAGTCATATGCTCCCTACATTTCTATGATGGTGTTTTTTTTAAAATTCATAAGTATTTTTGATTATTGAGTGAAGCAACATAAAGGAGGCCTGCTTTTAGAACAAATGGAGTCCCCAGGTGAAGAATGAACATAGTACCCATAGTTTAAATTATTATATGACAATAATAAATTCTAATCAGTTCATATTTTGTCCATTGTGATATAAATAACATGTTTCTCCATATGTTGTCTAGACTATGGTGCCTCAGTGTTCCATGTTATATAGAAAGAGACTTCAAACCAAAAGTAAAAATGTTGATATGATTTCTTTTCAGCTTGTAGGAAAAAGATAACACACATTTCTATACAGAAAAGGGTATTAAGGAAATGCAGGTAGCTACTGATAAGAGCAATGATGTCTTGCTGCGACAGTGAATAAGTTCCTACATTTGTGCTTCCAATTGCCCTAACCTTTGGCCTCTGAAGTCTTCCTAGTTTTTGAAGATTAAGTTTCTTGGACAGCAGTCTCTGAGGCTGAGATGAACATGCGGGAAATTTAGTGAAGAGTACTCTAGAGATCACTGAATTGAAGGACAGAAAAGACAGGAGTATTACAGATAATGAGGCTATGATACAGTCTCAGGAAAGGCTTCAGCCAACAAGGGGAACATTTGGAACTGGACTGGTCCCTTAGAGAAGTTACAAGTTTGGCTGAGAGGATTGGGACTTTACATACCTGTGTTGACAAGTCATTGGATGCAGGCTGTCTTCAGGAAGGGTGGTGTGTCTTTTAGTGAAATATTGATACTTCTCTTCAGTAATTTTCCAGACAAGACTGACAGCTGAGAACACTCCCAGCAGCTGAAGAATTGTCCTTCAGTCCTAAATGGGGTCTGGATTGTGCATCATAGCTTCTAACACACTGGTCCTTTTTCCTTTATGACCACAGCTGAGAGGGGCATTGGGGAGGATGACGTTAAGGAATGCACAGCTTCATCATTCTACTTTCTATCTGTGCAAGTTGGGGCTCAGGTACAGTGTTGGTATTTATCAGTCACAGACTATTGTAAGCTGGTCTTGGGGTTCCCTCAATAATCTAATAAGATTTCTATTATTTTTCAGTTAGCTTCATGCACAAATAGCTACAGTTAAGCATGTGTAGTTGTGAATTTTTAAGACTTACTGACCACTATCCTTTGTCCACCCTCCAGCTTTGTTAATGAGAGCTATCTTGCACCTGTTTTAAAGAGGATTAAATGGGAAGATAATTCTTAATCTGATCTTTATCAATAAGCTAGCTCCCATTATTAGGCAAACAACTCTTAAGGGACTTGCTTGAAAGAACTTGAGATCTGAAACTTATTTCTTTCTAAGGCTAAACATTAGCCTTTACTGCTGGAGTAAGAAAACAGTTGATTTTAAAAAAATATAGACTTTTTTTTAGATCAGTTTTAGGGTTCACGGCAAAATTGGGCAGAAAAAAGAGTTCCTATATACTCACTTCCCCCACACAAGCACAACCTCTCCCACCATCAATATCCTGTCCCAGAGTAAAGGTTTGTTACAACAGATGAACAAAAATCAACAGATAACTATCACACAAAGTCCATAGTTTATATTATGGTTCATTCTTGGTTTGTACCTTCTATGGGTTTTGACAAATGCGTAATGACATTTATCCACCGTTATAGTATCATACAGAGTAGCTTCACTCTCCTAAACTCACTGTGCTCTGCTTATTCGTCTCTCTCTTCCTCCCATCTAACCCCTGGCAAACACTGTGGCTACAGTTTTACTGTTTCCAGAATATTAAAGAATTGGAATCATACTGTATGCTGCCCTTTCAAGTTGGCTCCTTTCACTCAGTATAAAATACTCTTAAGTTTTCTTTATGACTTTTTCATGGCTTGATAGCTCATTTCTATTTAATGCTGAATAATATTCCATCGTCTGGATATACCCCCATTTTATTTATCCATTCAACTGAAGGATATTTTGGCTACTTTCAACTTTTGGCAATTATTGAATAAAGCTGCTGTAAACATTTATGTGGAGGTTTTTGTGTGGACATTAAGTTTTCAACTCATTTGGTTAAACACCAGAGTTGAATTTTTTTAACTCTGCAAGATTCCAAATTACTGAAGACTCAAGCTACTTATATTGCAGGCAACAAGCCTATGGCCTCTTTTAGCCAAGTTCTATTTCCTTTCACCTATAGTTTGAGTTGATCTGTATCTTGCCAGACTTTGATGAAAGCAGCAATAACCAGCACATACACACTAACATTTTGAATTTTCCCTAACATATTGGTTAATGTAGCAAGCTTGGTCAGCGTGAATTCTGCCATCTAAGGATTGTTGAATGTCATATAACTATGTTCACAAGCTTTCCAGTCTTCAAAGTCTAAATTCTTAGTATTGTTCTCGCAGCTTCCTCATGAAACCAAAGCCAGTTTAGGTTGTGATGCTTTCTGCACACAGTCCTGGTAAAAATGACTGCAGATAACAGACTTTCAGATAACAGAATCATCTGTAGCCAGTTTAACCAGAAAAGAATTCATTTCATATTTCTTGAAGTGCCAAGAAACCAACGTAGATGTTACATAACGAGGAGAAATAGAGCGAAGAGAAATATCCAGTTATCCAGTTGTTGTTCAGTCACTAAGTAGTGTCTGATGTTTTGTGACCCCATGAACTGCAGCACACCAGTCTTACCTGTCCTTCACTATCTCTTGGAGTTTGCTCAAACTCATGTCCATTGATATAGTGATGTTGTCCAACCATCTCATTCTCTCTTGCTCCATTTCTCCTTTTGCCTTCAATCTTTATCAGCATCAGGGTCTTTCCAATGAGTCATATCTTCACATCAGGTGGTCAAAGTATGGACTGTTGTAACAAAATCACACTGCTGCTACTGCACTCAACACATGTGAGGCCAGAGACTAGACCATCATCACTACTGTTCTAGGAACAAAACAAAACAAACACCTCAATGACTGTGCTTGTCAGAAAAATCACTTGTCTGCTGCCTCTTGATGTATGTTCACTGCCATGTTCTGAGTCTCACAGACAGAATCCTGACTAAAGAATCTGGGAAATGTGATCATCACTTTCTGCCTCCAGGGTCCCAGAAGGCAAGAGGAAAAGGAGATGGAGTTCCATGAGGAATGGTTTTCACTGCAGGGTGATTTCATCCATCCAGTTTATTGGATAATGTCTGGAGATACTTTTCTTTGTCACAACTGAGGTGGGAATGAAAATAACACTGAGAGGGTGAAGGCCAAGGATGCTGCTCAACATCCTACAATGCACAGGATGGGCTGCAAATAAAGAATTATCCAGGGACTTCCCTAGTGGTCCAGGGGTTAAGAATCTACCTGCCAATGGAGGGGACATGGGTTTGATCCCTGGGCCCAGAAGATTCCATGTGCCATGAGGTGACTAAGACTTTGTGCCACAACTACTGACCCGCATGCCTAGAACCTGTGCTCTGCAACAAGGGAAGCCACTGCACACCTTGACTGGAATAGCCTCTACTCACCACGACTAGAGAAAAGCCTGAACAACAGCAGAAACCCAGCACAGCCAAAAATAAAGAAAAGAATTATCCAGCTCAATATATCAATGGTACCAAGGGTGAGAAACTCTGGTGTACAGTGAGCCAATCTACTGTATCTGCCTTAAAATCCAACTCAGATTTATAGTCCCTGGTGTCTGTGGAAGCCCTATGTGTCACTTCTGGAGACTTACAACACAGTCTTGCTCCAAGTACTGAAGAAGCACACAATGAAGACATACAAAGAAGAGGGGGGAAAGGCAGTGACTATGTTTTGTCACCTGAGTCTTAGGCTTCCACTCACTTCCCAAGGCTCCTCCGTTCCTATACCTTGGAAATTTCTCACAAGCAAATTTTATTATAAATTTCTCGTAAGAATTTTTTTTAATAAAAATTTCTCATAAATACAGAACTCTCTTCTTCAGTCCAAACTGAAGAATTTAAACAAGTACTACATCATTCTTTCACCAAAACCAACTCAACATCTGTTTTAGATTGTTTACACAGAAGCAAATCTCAGTTCAAGGACTTGCATGTAAGCAGTTTTTTCAGAAGTGTTTCCAACACAGTATGAGAGTGAAAAAGTTAGACAGGAATGGGAAAGAAGAAAATATGTGGTTTGTTTTCAAGACAATTACCACTGTAGATAAGGCACTTAATCCCTACCTCCAGAAACTCTGAAAGTGAGCATAAAACATACAACTCAGAGTTATTCCACTCAAAAACTGAGGAAGCTGGTGCACATAGCATTAGTTTCGTACTGTTCCTGTAACAAACTGCCACAAACAACAGTGGCATAAAATAGCATAGTATCTCACAGTTCTGGAGGTTAAAAGTCCAAAATATGCCATCAGTCCAGTTCAGTTCAGTCGCTCAGTCGTGTCTGACTCTTTGTGACCCCATGAACTGCAGCACGCCAGGCCTCCCTGTCCATCACAAGCTCCAGGAGTTTACTCAAACTTATGTCCATTGAGTCAGTGATGCCATCCAACCATCTCATCTTCTGTCGCCCCCTTCTCCTCCTGCCCCCAATCCCTCCCAGCATCAAGGTCTTTTCCAATGAGTCAACTCTCCACATGAGGTGGCNAAGCAGGGTGACAATATACAGCCTTGACATTCTCCTTTTCCTATTTGGAACCAGTCTGTTGTTCCATGTCCAGTTCTAACTGTTGCTTCCTGACCTGCATGCAGGTTTCTCAAGAGGCAAGTCAGGTGCTCTGGTATTCCCATCTCTTTCAGGATTTTTCACAGTTTATTGTGATCCACACAGCCAAAGGCTTTGGCATAGTCAATAAAGCAGAAATAGATGTTTTTCTGAAACTCTCTTTTTCGATGATCCAGCGGATGTTGGCAATTTGATCTCTGGTTCCTCTGCCTTTTCTAAAACCAGCTTGAACATCTGGAAGTTCATGGTTCATGTATTGCTGAAGCCTGGCTTGAAAATTTTTAAGCATCACTTTACTAGCATGTGAGATGAGTGCCATATTGGGCTAAAATCAAGGTGACAGCAGACTGCAGCTGAAAGCTCTTGAAGAGAATCCATTTCCTTGACTTTTTAGCTTCTAGAGGCCACTTACATTCCCTGGCTGGTGTCTCCTTTCTCCATCTTCAAAGCTAGGACAAGGTCTTGGATTCAGAGCTAACTTGAAGAAGCTCCTATTGGCCAAAGATAAGATACATAAGCAAATAAATGGGTAACTGAAATATGTTAAAATCAACCAAATGTGATCAATGAAGTAGGCAGGAAGAGAATAAAGAGCATGTCTATCCTAGCAAAGCCAAGATAGAAAGCTTAGTGTCACTTCAAGGGTTTTTCCTTCCATGTTAGATTGAGCATAATGATTACTGAATTATGATTGACTGCAAAAATGATTCTAGGACAGTCTATTACTCAAGAAAGATCAGAACAGCTACGGGTCAGCTGGAACTCTATTCAAAGTAAAGAGTAAATTGCTGCTACTTAATAAAGTCTGAAGGAATGGTGAAAGATAAAAAATAAAGTTATATTTTTATTGTAATCCATGTGTCAATGTTATTCAACATACCAGCTACATGCATAAAATATGTGAACTCCATTCCCATGGAGCAGATAATCTAGGAAAGATTTTACATGTGCACAAATAACTATAATGCAAAATAATATGAAATAAGTGTCACAGTGGAGGCACAACCAAAATTCTTTAGTTCAGTAGGCAGAAATATCAATTCTGACAATGCTGAGAAGAGCAAGATCTGAGCTGGGTTTTAAAGGATGAGTGGCATTTAGTGGGCAGAAATGAGAGGGAGAACATGCTAACCTGAAGAAATAAATTGAACAGAAATGCAACAAAGAAAATGAAGTGA